TGAGGAAGTCAACTATTTGGGATAATAACTGGTATTCTCCACATTGGTTTTTCTGTCTTGAAATCATAAGGCAGACTTGAAATGAAATTGTAACCTTATGTGATTTGAATCTTTGTTTTAATTTTTTTTTTAAATTATTTTGGAACCAAAATTTTTTTCCCTTACATTTCCTTTCGAAGTTAAGGTTTCACAGAACTTTTATTTTTAAAAATCTTTTATTTTGAAGCTCTGTTGATTTCTCCTAAAAATTGATCTAGATAGGGGTGCTCAGAAGACGGTTACTTTAAGTTGCGACACCAAAATGTTTGAGAGGGCACATTTTTGGGAGGTTTTCAGTTTTGCACATTTTGTTTGGAACATATGGTTTTAATTTGGAAAAACTTCCAAATCAGAGGCAAATATAAAACGAACCGCAGCAAGTGTAATGATCAACATTTTTCAAAGTTCTCCTTTCGCTTTCAAGAAGAGAGCTTTCTTGGGATGGGGATGGATGATGGTTTGCGCCATCATCCTTAGGGGAATGGGCACCTCTGGATCAAAACATGACTTTTAATATTAGCTATCCAAAGAGAAGACGCGCATAGAATCAAGTAATTAATTTAAAATACATAACTATTTTTATTGCTTTTAAGTTCTACAACTGACAGTTATTTCATTCAAGATAATTTTAACATTAATCTAAGCCCAATTACAGGTTATTTCTCATTTAACATAACTTTTTTTTAAGAACCTAAAATAATAAAAGTTAAGATTTTACCCTAAACCTAGAAGTATATTACAAAAAAGTTTCTTAAAACTTGTATTTTCAAAACTTTAAAAGTTTCCCAGAATGTGTTAAATTGGAACTTTTTTAGAAAGCTCCATACAATTTCCACCTCTGATTGTTATGCGCGTCGAATATTGTCAATCTAGTGTTAGCATACTTAACAGTGATCATTTATGTTTACCGTTATATTCATCACTATAGTATAATTATCTGAAATGAAAACATTTCTTCACTGTCATTAATAAGTTAATATAACCGGTAAGATGGTGTAAGTTAATACAAGCAGGATGGAAAGTTCTGTTTTATTGTTTTGTCTGCTGACTATTTTAGAGATAATCCCAGCCGTTTTCTGGTCAGATGACTGGTACTAAAAAAAAATATGCATAAAAAAATTTCCGTTACAACTATAGTTTATAATTTTACTGGACATTATATTAAATTTGTGAGAATTGCCTTTATTTGTTACATTTTTATCAGAAGACATTATTGCTTTGTAAATCCACCTCACACTTTTTAATATTCTTAGAAACAGAAAATTGTTGGTTAAGCTTGTGGAAATGTAGGAATTTAGATACCCTGAAATATGTTTCCAAAAGCTAAGAAACAAATGTTATCAATCTAATCCTGCTTTGTCGAAATATAATTGGTGTGCTCAGCTGAAAGTATTGTTAGATGCTATTAGTGAAGGCGATATAGTTTATGAAACCAAATCAGCCATAATTAGAGCAAATATGGGCAGGATTTTATATAAATATAAACGTCATTTGCAGAAGGGTGACAAGAAAACATTGCATAGCTCAGTTAATAGTGAACTTTGAATCTTTTTTTTAACAATGGTCAGATCTCCCAGTATTTGTTGATGCTAACTAACTTCAAATATACCAGATTATTAATGCAGATTCTCGGAAAAATACATGATCAAGGTTTCAGTTGACAATAAAATTGTAAAATTCATTCCACAACTTGAGTGCAAAATGTAGAATACTATAGAAAAAGAGACACTTTATCATGTATTAATTAAATGCCCAATATACAATAGTTCAAGAGTAAGAATTTACCACTATATGGGTAATCTTAATGGGATGGAAATATTTGAGCCAACCACTATAGAAGATATGAGAAAATTATATTTTTTCATTTATAATATATATGAAATTATAGAGAATTGGTGGGGTAATTTGGAATATTGTCCTTTGAATATTATTTTGTTGTTTTCTTTCTTCAAGTGATTAATCTTTTAATTGAATTTTAAAACATAGTTTATTAGTTATATTTAAAAAATAAAATTTTGTGTTTTGACAGGAGTTTTTATATAGTTGTAAATAATTGGCATTTTAGCTGTATGAGTTGTTACCAAATATATTTTTAAGTGATTTTTTTATTAATATTGTTGTAATATTAGTAGATCCTCCTAGGGCACACCCAGCCTTTATAAAGTGGGTACTCTTAATTAAAATAATTAGTTAATGGGAAAAATATGGTGGTTGATTGTGATCTCTGTCAGATCACCTCCTTTCACAACCATTGATTAAGAAACAGTGCTTTCTCTAAATAGTACTGAACCCAAGACCTTTCATGGGTTATAGTGGTACAGGTTTTTTTTAATACCATAAGAGTAATAATGTTTGTTATACTAAGATAGACTCTATTTGTATGGGATTCTTACCTGAAAACAAATAAAGATTAAATAAAATAAATGTTTTTTTATTAAACGGAACATCAAAATCTGACAAATTTAAATTCATTATACCTGATTTGGACAGTAATCCTATTTCTACCTGATAAGAACTACCGATTAAGATTATCTGTAGCTTTAGGTCTATCTGTTGACCAAATGTTTCATTGGCTCTTAGTATAGTGTATTAATAAAATGGTGACATGCGCATGGTAGTAACTGTTGCGAAATTTAATAAACATACTAATATGTATTGAATCTTCATCGTCCTGAAATTGATAGTTTCTAATCAGGAAACATTAAAGAAATGGCGGTTGATAAACTATACAATATTGAGAATGGGTGTTGACATTGTAAATAATCCTAACAAAATAATTTAGTTATAATTAAAAAAAACTGGGGAAAAAACAAAAAATTGGATAAATCAAGAAGTAAGAATGGGAAAGAAGAGGTAAGAAAGAAGTCAGATGGTTGCCGTTCGTGGATGGTTTGGCTCTTCTAGCAGTAAGTGGATGAAAAGCAATAGAAAACAGAATAATTACAGGAAACAGTTAGGAATGGAGGGTTGAAATATCATTCATCAAGACTGTAATAATCATGAATGATAAAACAAAATGGAAAACAGTTAAAGCAGAAGATAGTGAAACAACTTGAGTATTTAAGGGATAGGTGAATTGGGCTTTAAAGTATCATATTTTAAAAGGAATTCCAAAGGGTTTTAATGGTCAATGTTTAATTAATATAATAAAACCTAACAATAAATAATTAAATATAACAAAACCAAAAGAATTTGTACAACCAGTCTTATTAGGTAATTGTTTTCGGAATAAATTTTAAGCAGAGAGTATTATGCGAATGTTATTCACATAAATTTCTTCCCTACGCAGCCCAATTTAGATGTTTTTAATCTTTGAACCATTATTTCTACAATTATTTATGTGTTTGTCAAAAATAAAATATTTGTTATATAAGAATTTATAATTATGGTTAAAATATATGTAGGATGAGTATAGAGGAAACAGGGATAACTCTCTCTAATTAAAAAACTTATATTCTTCTCCGATTTTCATTTGTTTAAATTTTATTGGCTAATTACTAATAAAAAATATGTTTATACTAATACATCTATCAGCATTATGATTTTGTTTACAACATATTGTAAATAAGTTGCAATCTGATTTGAACATATTTTAATTGTGTGAGTGATCATCACAGTGATTTCATTCTTTTTTTCATTTGTATTATTGAAATGTTACAAAGTGCCAAACAATTATTCACATAAAGAATATGCAAATATGTTGTTTGTTTATGGTTTTGCAATGGAAGTGCTACAGATGCTACTGAGGAATATTGCCAACGGTTTCCTCATCTCAAACATCCTGATAAAGGGTATTAATCGCAGTTTTTAACAAATTATGCGAGAGCAGAATACTTTAACATCGGAATGAGCTTCTCGCCAAGGTTTAGAAGATGTAGAAAATATTCTTGCTCTAGTAGAAGATGAAACGATCAGCTCGTGAAGAACAACTGCTCATTTGGACATTCTACAAACAAGGTTAACGAGATACAAGGCTTCTATCATGTACAGACAGTAAATGGAAGATTATCCTTAATGTATGGAATTTTGTCGATGGATATATGACAATCCTCATGTTAAATCTCTTATACTATTTACGGATGAAGTAGCATTTATCCTTGACGTCATTAATAACACTCACCCGTGTGTAGCCGATGAAAACCCCTAAGCAAAAGACAATTTTAATATGTTATTTAATTGTCGTTTTCAACTTAGAAAATTGCTTCAAAGGAGACTACTACTTAATTTTTTTAATTAAAAATTGTCCAAACTGTGGTTTTGTTCCGTTTATTTTATGTTGATAAAAAATAATACAATCTGAACTTCAGACTACATGAAAATTACAGTTATACAATTTAAGAATGTGTAGTACAATTAAATGAACAGTTGTATAATTTGTAAAATAGGGGTTGGTCCGCAATTAGGTGGATATTATTATGTTTATTAGCATAATTATAAATCAAAGAAACTTAATCACTTGCAATCTATCCTAAAAAAATAAAATTGTACATCCCGAAAGCAGAAAGTATAATATGTATAACATGTATTTAGTCAGCAACCCAGTGAATAAATAATTATTGTTCCTTCCATAGAAAATAGTATTTTTTCTTTCAGTTGGTAATAACTTCGGATAACTTTTATATAACTTCCCCAGGATATCAGAACTAAATAGTTGGTCCTATAATTTTTTATCATTTACTCCTTTAAATTGCTACTTACTCTTTTTTTTTTTTTTTACTTATCTTCATTGTTATTGTTGCAATAATGTATTGATATCTTTTCAATAACGTTAGTTTCTATTTAAGAAATTATAATTTTATTTTATACTTCAGTCTAATGGTATATAACTTAACTAGATATCATATGTATATGAGTCACTTTTTTTTTACATGTCTCTACATTACAAATGTTTTTCATGACATTTAATCTATAGTTAACCATAGTGATACCAATTTTTATTTATTTATTATTTTGTTTTGTAGGCCAAACAGCGAGCGACAGTGAAATGGTTGTTATCAAAGGCATACAACAACAGAGTACCAGAAAACCTCCGTGAACCATTCTACCGTAATCATGAGGTATTATTATATTTAACTTATATGCATATTATATACAGAATACATATATTTACTAAAAGCACTTATACAATAAATTTCTATGTTTATATTTCTTTTTACATTATTATTGTTTTTTTCACATACTTATTTATGATAATGGAAAAAAATGAATCCAGTTTTTCAAAGCATGTATTTTGAGAAGTCCAAATAACTAAGTTATTTAAAGTGATTACCCATTTAATATTGGAGCTAGTAATAAAAATTGTTAAATATAACCTATGAAAGTATTTGATGAATCAACTAAAGGAAAAATAAAGGTTAGGAACTTATGAAGGACTTGAGTCTATTAAAACTAGGAAATTGAAAACAGCCAAGAGTGCTTGCTTGATTTTTTTCTTTAATCTTCTCAATTCAGGGCTTTCCTATTGTTAGTTTAACTGTTATATTTCACTTACACGTAATATTCAAAAGAGATTTAATGCAAAATGTTGAAGATCTATTAATAGATATTTGAAATATATATTTACTAAAATTAACTATTTCTAAACATATTGTAGTGATAAATGTTTTGGATAAAGCTCAGAATATTTCCAGAAAAGCACCTAGTAAGCTCTGGTAGCTTAAGAGTTGAAACCATGAAAAGGAGAAATATATGCTCATAAAAAGCCAATATGAAGATAAGAGTATATGACGTTTCTTTAGGTCTGTTGGACATATTAAAGAGAGAATCAAGACAAGACACCATAAAGCATGAGAACAGCAACCTTCTGATCAGCCGGTGAGGTGTAATGAGCAGGTGAACTCAACATTTTCAACACTTCTTGAACAAGAAGGAAGAAGATGGTTATGAAAATCCACAAGACTGATTGGATCAGTTCCTAGAAAATGACAATGAAGATGGATGACGTTGAAGTACTTCCCAAGAAGGAAGAGGTTATGGAAGTTATCAGCAAAAAAAAAATTAAAGCCGCTGGGGTTCACTGTATACGTGGGTGGTCTGAAAAGTTTCCGAGTTTTTTTTTCATTTTTCTTTGCAAAATAATTGTTCACGAAGGTGATTGTCTCTTCATTTGATGAAAATATCTGTCCTCCGATCACAATTTTTAGTTAAGGGAACAAAAAGAAGTCGCTTGGGGCTAGATGTGGTGAGTAAGGCGGGTGGTCAAGCAGTTCATACCGTAATTCGTGGATTTTTGCCATGGTAACTGCTGAGGTGTGAGATGGTGCGTGAGCAAACGTGACATCCAACGTGCAGACAGCTTTCTCATATCTGAATGTTAATTTAATATGTAACAAACACGTTCTATAGACATTTTCATAACCCCTGCTATCTCTCTCACTTTAATTCGGTGGTCGTCTAGCACCATTTGGTGAACTTTGGCGATGTTTTCGTCAGTAGTTTCAGTTCTGGACGTCACGAACGTTCATCGTCTCCTAAGCTCTTACGGCCACGTTTAAATTCAGCTGTCCAAAATTTACTGCGGTAAATGATAGTGCAGAGTTCCCATACACAGAATCCAACTCATCTTTGATTTGTGTAGGGGGATGCCTTTCAAAAACAAATATTTAATGACAGCTCGATACTCAATTTTGTCCATTTTCACAAAAACTCTCACATCAATTCACTCAAACAACTGTTACATAAAAACTGCACATCCAAAATGGCTGAAACTTTGGTGAGTAATTGTCAACAGACGAAGAACGAAATTCACTTGCTTTTATTTACGAGTGCTGTCATCTTCATGTTACAGTCGGGAACTTTTCAGACCACACCTGTGAAACTACAAAGTATGCCGGAGATGTAGTACCCACTGAGCTGTAGAAAATAGTTTTCGATTTATAGATGAGTGAAACGGTATCAACTTAATGGTCTTATTATATGTTCCGTCTATAAGAAAGATGATAGAGTACTGTTTGACAATTGTAGAAGTATAGCTCTCCTTAGTGGTGTCATATCTATAGTTCTGTCATCATAAATTTGCAGGAGATTAAAGGATGGATAAATTTTCGTTGATTACCAAACCGGATTTCGGCAAGAAAAGTCGACAACTGACTGAAATTTTCACATCGATAGATTTTTGGTGACTACCAAAACGGATTTAGGCAAGGAAGGTCGACAACTGACTGAAATTTTGCTTCAAGGCTGCTGTAGGATAAGACAAATGAATTTGACATTACATTGCACCACCTCTTCATAAATTTCTGACAAGCATACTACTGTGTCAATTGGGTATATTTATTATGGGTACATCGCATTATTTATGCAGATTTGAAGTCCTCAAAAAGAAAGTTTGTATGGTCCGTATGACCATGAGTGGCTCTCAATATTGGATCAAATCACAGACCCCACATGGACAGAATTTTTCTGGTAATCATAGAATTTGACAAGAAGATCCTGAGGCTGCAACTCTTTAATTTTTCCATTAATGGTGTCGTCTGAGGAATTAGGAGCAATCCTGGTGGCAAAATAAATAAACACAGGTATTGGCCTATGCAGACAATATCCACCTGGTAGCAATAATGCTTCCTGCAATCATGTGGCATTGGGAGAGTTGAAACATGAAGCCAATAAAAGAGAACTGTATATCAGTAAAATAAAAATGGAGTTCATGAGGGGCACTCAAAACCTTCCAATAATGCCACAATCCTTGAACCCACAAGACTTTCAAAGGCGGAAACTTGGATTTTTTATATTCACTACACACCTAATATCAAAAAAAAATTTGAATTACTCAACCTTTCGCAAGCTAGACCCCCTTTTTTATGCTGATTTGACTGGTCTATTTGAAGAGGCTTCAGTAAAACTGTTATTTTAATTATAATTCTCATAATTTTATTGCTTAAATGGTAACAATGATTAATTTTTTTTTTTTAAATATCTGGATGTTAGCCTGAAAAAGTCAGGTAATATTTTTTCTTTATGTCTATAACGATACTACATTTTGTTCCCATGGAATTCTCGGACAGGTCTAAAGAAATGGTCTTACCATTGCAAGGAATAGCATTGTATAATATCCCTCATCATTTATAAGTTAAAATCATTTCTTCATTGAAAAAAAAAAAAAATGTGTTCATGAATAATGGGTTAGAAAACAGATTTGCTTGATATAAAGTTTTTATTTATTACTATCTTCATTTCTCAAATATATTTTAGTTTTGAAATTTTTTAAATTTTTATGTGAATGCTTTTAATTGTTACTTTTTATTACACTGGTATGTTAAAATTTGAATGAATTTTTTGTTTTTGTTTTTTCCAGGATCAAGAACATTTAAAGCCAGCAGTTGTTCATTATTTAGCTAATGCTGAGCTTTATTGTATGGCATTGTCTAATATATACTCAGATCCAAACTATAACAATCTGAATCATTGGAACATTCTTCAGGCTCTTGCCAGAAAAGGAGTATATATTTCTGATCCTCATATAACCGAGACTGTGCTTATTCAAACTACTCCATTAAAACTTGTTAGTTTTAATTTTTATATATTTATAATTAATTATTAAACAATTGCATTATTTTCTATAATATAATAGACAAACACTAGTCTAGTATGCCTATGTTTATCATGAAATTGAGGTGTCAAAATCATTAATTTTTCAAAGCAAGCAACATTTGCCAGAAGTCATAGCATGATGTTGACTATTCTGCGCATCACTTTATGTTATAGTATTACGTTTTGGTTTGAAAAATGTTAAGCTTAAAGAATGTTAAGCTTGAAGTGACTTGAATTTAATAACATCTTATTTGTTATTCTATATTGAACTTCAGCTCCCCTATAGTTTTCTTATTTATTCTGTTTAGATCTCAGAGTTTTTTGTTCAAACTATTGATAAGGCATGCATAGTAGTAAGGACAGGTGGGTTTAGATGTTGCTTACAGGTGATTAATTAGAGAATAGTTAAAGGAGAGGGAAACGCTATTAAAGTAAATGAAAATTAAAGTGCTGGGTAAAGAAGAACACAAAGGGCACCAAAGTTAAAGCAGTTAAATCTAAATTCATTCATTCATGTATGGCACAACATCCCGTCACCGAGACTAGGCCTCCTCCAAGAGCCTCCGCCAGTTGGCTCTGTCTTCTGCTGCAGCTCTCCAGTTCCGCACACCAAGCAGGGTTCTCGCATCATAGGCCACGTTGTCCAACCATCTCGTCCTCGGCCTTCCTACCCGTCTTACGAGGTGCAGCTCCTCCATCATTATTTTTTTTGGTATTTCAAGGGTGCTCATTCTGGCCACATGCCCTGCCCACCTTAGTCTGGCCAGTTTAATATACGTGACTACGTCGATGTCTGCATAGAGAGAACTGAGCTCCCTATTTTTTCTTTTCCTCCAGACATCACCCTCCTTTACTGGACCATAAATCCTTCTGAGGACTCCTCGCTCAAAGACACTCAGCTTCATCTCATCCTTTTTAGTCATCGTCCAAGCCTCTGAGCCATATGTCAAAACAGGCCGAACAAGGGTCTTGTATATGATCAGCTTGGTCTTCTTTGAGAGGTACCTACTTCTTAAGTGTCGGCCAAGTCCAAAGACACATCTATTGGCAGCCGTGATCCTTCTTTGTATTTCTTGAGCCATGTCATTCTTGCTATTGATTTCAGACCCAAGGTATATAAAACTTTTCACTCTCTCAAACTTAAAAGAACCTACCTCAAATGGAGAGTTCAGATCCACCTCACCGCCAACTCTCATATACTTAGTTTTCCTCTCGTTGACTTCTAGACCAAGTGGTCTTGCAGCTGCTTCAAGGCTTATAAACGCTTCTATGAGAGCCCGTTCAGACCTACCTACTATGTCAATATCATCAGCAAAACCAAGAAGCTGTGTCAGGCGATTGAAGCAGTAAATCTAAATCTAATATTATTTGGTAATAAGAACCTTTTTTTTTTTTAATTACTTTTTAAAGTTTTCTCATGTTTGCGTGTTCAGAAATGAGGTGGCTGACAAGTCCATTTATCTTCAGATTTTATATTTTCAAACATTTATTATTGGTTTCTGGTGCAGGAACTTATCTTTGAACTTACTTTATGTTTGAGTTGACTATTCTGCGCAGCACTTTATGTTATAGTATTACGTTTTAGTTAAACTGGAGCCATTCTCTAGTTTACAATTTTTTTTGTCTATTTTTCTTCGGAAATAATAGACTATTTGTACTGTATCTAAGTTGTCAGTGGAAGGCTAGGTTGCGGTTTCTATTAGTTTTGGAACCCCTAGAACATGATTTAGTAATTTTTAGAAATGTCAGTTTTATATATATATATATATATATATTTTTTTTTTTTTTTTGTCCTGCTACATTTCGGCTTCCCAGCGACCTCTGTTTGACCGAATCAGCTGAAATTCGGTATATAGAGTTGATTCCCTGGCGAAACAATGCTATTATACTTTGGAAAAATTTTATGAAAATTTCTGCTTGTAAGAACGTTTTTTCCCATTTTTCCCTGTTTTTTAACTATTGCGCATCTCCACAGCTCCTCCTAACAAATTGAAAGGTTGAAATTTTGTATCTCTATTAAGTTGGATGTTGGCCTTTGGGGCATCTCATATTTCCAGCTGCCATTTTGTTTCAAGATGGTAGTGGTAAAACCTGTTTCTCTATAGACTACAGCACTAAAATGGTCCCCATGATACCCTATAAATTTATGTTTATAACATACTTTCTCGAAAAAGGACTAGAAAAGGAGTTTTGGCGAATACAAAATTTTATTTGCGAATAACTCAGTTTTTACTAAAAGGTACACTTTTTCCCCTTTTTGGATCAGAACATATTTTGAAGACATTTAAATTTCCTAAACGATGAAAAACTTGATAGAAATCTGTCCAGTAATTAAAATGATCCGTTATACAGTTACTTTAAAAAGAGAAAATGGTCCGCTTTGCTTTTGAACTGTTGGTAAATATTTAGAACAACATATCTTATCACTAAATGATTCAATTTTAATATTTATTTTTTTATGTTTTAGGTAATTTAGTATACTTTCAAATGACCACAACAATATCATAAAAAAAGTGAATACTTTTTATCTTTTTCGGATATCCAATGCTAACGTTGTAATTATATTTCCAGCTTCTTTTGGGTGAAATTTATTTTAAACGTAAATTTAAAGTTCTTCGAGGAGAAGACTGGCCATCTTTCATTAAAATGGGTTCATCGATTTAGGCGCTGTATTAGTTTTTTAAAATTTATAACTCAAACCTTCCTGTAGTGTTCTAATTCTGGTATGACAATTTTTGTTATTATATACACAGCTTATTAAAAAGATATGTCCAAAAAGATATAATCTTTGTGTATAAATGTTTTCCAAGGCGGTAGGTAAAGTCTTTTGTGGGGATTTGCTATTCTTATTGAACTTATAACTATTCAAATATAATAACCCATTGGGTAATGATTTGCAGAACTTTTATTTCTCTATTTAACACCAATGAAACAATCATTTTTTATTTTTTTTAAATTAAAAATGAGTGGAAAATAGAACATCAGTGACAGAGCTCTACTGCTTACACCTTTTTTTTACATTTTTGTTATTTGCATCCCTAATATATATAAATATATTTTTTTTAGAGTGCTCATGTAACTGTCATGCAAGGGGTGATGGCATTGTATGCTAGGGAAGTTGCCACCCCAGAGCTTGTTAGTTCTGCTGTTAAACGGTTCAGTCCAGCTGTACCTCCACCTGCACCAAATGATCATGAATCTGCTCTTCTTTACTGGGTTTCTCAAACGGTATCTTCTCTTTGCCAAAGGCTAGCTCAAGAGGTTAGTAAATTTATTTGTTTTACTTTTTCTATTGTTTACATTTAAATATAATCTATAATATTGTTATACATGACGTTGTTTATTGTGAAAGGCTGTAGGCTTTATAAATTTCCTCACACTGCTACCAATTGGAACAGACCAGTACCCATAAAGATCATTCTATCTAGAAAACTGTATCCAATGACGCTAGCACAGCTTTCCACAGATATCGTTTAAAGTCACTATAAAAATGTATAGGGTAAAGTCACTATAAAAATGTATAGGGTAAAGTCACTATAAAAATGTATAGGGTTAAATTTTGAAGCCTACTTATGAGAAGGATTCTTTTAACTTTAGACAACTATGGTATGTGTTAAAAAATTAACTGGAATTGCCATTTTTTCAAAACAATTTTATTTTTTATCTGTAATAGTGTTATCACCTTCTAAGTAGTTCCATTTAAATATTATGACCCCCGAAACACTTCTGGAACTTGATCTTTGGGATAACATTTATTTATGTCTCTGCTCGTATCTAATTGTCTAATCTCGTCTATGCTTGTAAAATAACAACCTTTTTAGATTCTTTTTATTTTTGGAAAGAGGAAAAACTCAAATGAAGCCATGTCAGACATATATAGAGGATGGGGCATTATTTTTTCACTAAAAATTCATGAACAGTCAATGAAGTGTGTGCCAAGTACATTATCATTGTGTAAAAGTCATGAATTATTACACCACAAATCCAGGCTTCCCACATACTGTGTATATCTTGTAAGAAGTACTCCTTATTGATTATTTGACTTGTTGGTAAGAATTCATGGTGCACCATTCCATTGAAATTGAACAAAACAGTGAACATAATCTTTACATTTGACCCTTCACCTGCCGAGCTTGTTTCGGTTTTGGGGATCCAGAATGCCTCCACTGGGATGATTGGATCTTAGTTCGGAGGTTATACCTGTACTCACTTGTTTAACCACCAGTCACATTTCAATTTTTTTGTATCATTGTTGACTTCATTTAGCAAATCCTGAGCAACTTCCATTCTCCACTTTTTGTATTTGAAATGCAATATTTCTGGTACAAAGTTTGTTTTCACATATTTCTTATTCAAACACCTGAAAATATTTTATGGCATCAACCAATCAATATGCCAACTTCATCTGCAACTTTCGTTTCTGGATTTGTTTTTAATCATTTCTTTCACTTTTTCTGCATTTTCACAGGTGGTTGTATTGCAGGAGTGTTCAAAACACTTCTTGTCATTAACTTCTTAACGGCCATCTTAGAAACACTTGTAAACCTTTGTTTTATGCATAGCAGATTGTTATTTTGGAAGTTATATACAAAAGAAAACTCAATATCTTATATTTCAAATTTTGATATCTTTTGTATAAAAAAGCTGAACCATCACAAATTACCTTTTTTAAAATAAAACCATTTGAAAAAATACACAATAAAAATAGGTGAAGATGTGTAGGTCCACTAATCCTGCTTGAAGTAGAGCTGTCTGTAGATTACTAGAGTAGTGGTAGTGAGCTCACATTTATACCACTGAAGGCTCTATGTTATTCCATGCTCTTTGAATAAAGCCAGTTCTGATATATGGCTGCTAGATCAAGACACTAACACACACCCTGGGAAGAAGTATTGAAAAATTTGAGAGGAAAATTCTACACAAAATAATTAGAGTGATCTGAGATCAGAGTAATAAAACATACTGGAGGAGATGAAAAAACAATTGCCTACAGAGAAACTGATTAATCAATGATATGAAGATTAAGATGGGTAGAGCTTGTAGCTTAGAGCAAGATATCAGTAAGTCTCTAGACAACAATAAATACCTTTAGTAGACAAGAAACCATGTGGGAGACTAAAAACTGGATGGATTGATCAATCATTGAAGATGTTGAGAGCTGCATGCAGTTAACTGAAAAGCAATAAACCATTATAGACAGAGATGGAGAAGTCCCGTTAAGGCAGCCAAAGATCTAGAAGGTCTGTGAAGCCAACAGAAAAAAATAATATATACATGTTTTGAATCATTTTAAATTGTTTATTTAAATTTTGCATGATTGAGGCAATTAGTTTTAAAAAATGACTTAATCTACATTTATCACAAAAGAAATTATTCTGTTTTCAAAATACTCAATACATTACATCCCCCACAAGGCCAAGCCATATTAACCATTTAAATCATCTGAATTTAGTATAAAGAGGAATTCAAACTCATGTTGTTACATTGGTTTAATTACATGTTCAGTGTCACCTTTAAAATGTTTTAGTGGTTTTGAAACTAATCACCTCAATTCAGAATAAACATTACATTTTACTGATCTTTTATAGGCAAGTATTCTTCATGATTTACATTTTTTGTTTTTATTTAAATTATTTAAGAGGACCCATAAATTGTGTAAATCTTATTAGAATCCAATTTTATTATTTTCCCCTAATTATCTCATCATAAGCCTTATTAAAAATTTGTTTGTAATAACCTATACTCCTTCAAAATATTCTGTTCTGGTCTTCCTCAATTAATTTTCAATATTGGTGTAGACCTCTTCTTATAATTTATTCTATACTGCCAATATAACTTTATTTAAATTGTTAATTGATGTTCTAGGTATATTATTGAGTATAAGATTTAATTATTAAAGATAAGTTGGATTATTATTATTTTCTGCATTTCATTATATTTCAGAACAAGCAAGAGAAAAATCATGAGTTTCCTGTACCAAAGGATGTAACAGATCTTTGTGATGGTGCTTGTTTAGCTGGTCTCCTTGCCTTTTATTGTCCGGAGCGAGTCAGTTTTATTGATATTAAACTCTCACCAGTTCCAACTGTGTCGGATTGTGTTAGGAATCTATCTCTTGTTGCTGACTTTTGCTCTTCTGAGCTTCCAGTTAATATATTCCATATGGCTCCTGAAGAACTTTATTATATGAGAGGGTAAGTTTCTGGAACATTGAATGTTAAAAGTATTTCCATGCTAAGTATAAATTCCTCAGATTTATTTTTAGAGAAGAATTTTAATATTTATAGTATAAAGACTGAGACAAAGGCTATTAGCTGTACTTGTTCATTGAGGTAACTTGTTCATTGTTAGAAATAAAATTAAATATTTATAAACTTTCAGCTTATAGTTAACAGATTTAAAATTAGCTACTTTATGGATCACTTAGTTAATTGTTCTATTTTAATGAAACAATTATAAGGTTTTAATTAATAGCTTACTTAACATTAACAAAAACTTTATAAATTTAAATATCTTCTGAACAGTTAGTTTTTAGTTAAAATATTTGTATTGTTTGTTTTAGTTTAAGATGTTGTTTTTAACTGGTATAAACATTAGATTTGTACAATAGTAACATAGAAATTTGTGTTATTGTTTCTTCTAAAATATGACAACTGTCAAATTCCCATTAAAAATAGCAATTTTATTTTTTTTTAAATAGAGAATGACCAATATTTAAGAAGTTTGTAAAGCCAGATTACAAAATTCACTTACAAGGAGAGGTTATGCACGTGGGATTTCAATGAAACATTTTTTTGGTGGTATTAGATTGAAAAATATTAGACCCATGTCTAAAGATTCTTGCCAATGCGGAACCCTTCTTGGCCCTAGGAGCCAGAAAAAAATGATGTTTTTTTATTATGTTACTGTTTTCTAATTTTTCTCTGCAAGTTTTTAAGTTATTATATATCAATCGAAATAAGAGAAACATATTACTAATTGTATGAAACGAATTTTAAGGTATAATAAATTATAAAAATCCATAGACACTTCCAGGAAAGTAGGCCAAGTAAATTTTTTATTATGAAAAAACGATTCAGATTCATTTTTAGGGTCCACTAAAACTCTTAAATATGAGTTTAAAAATTCCCCAAACATCATTATTTTTTATCTCCACGCCTAATTTATTTGCAGGATTCTGGTTTGTGTCATTTTGTGTATATTATAGGTCCCCAAATTCATGCTTATATTCTTATGGATAAATGGAGCCATGTCGAAGTTATCAGGAATTTTGTAATTTTCCAACCAAAATTTAAGGCTCCAGCCTATGCGAAAACTTTGAGCTAAATATTTTTATTTTTCAATCGTTATGAAAATTCTTATTTAAGGGTTTTTCGAGTTGCGAATTACAAATCTCAACATTGTTTCCACTTAAAAGAATATTTGAACCCACTTTATCCCTTAGATTAATTCTATTTGTTTTAATATTGAACATATACCTAGTCCTGTCATTAATATTGTTACAAGGAAGTATCTACACATTTCAACAAAAAAATAATTGTTTCAAAATGTTTATTAGAAAATAAAATATGTTTAAAGAGTAAAATAAAAAAGAAATTACTCAAAATGTCTCCCTCTTGCCTTGACACAGTCATTTAATCTCCGTGGCCAGACATCAATAGCAGTAAGCAGCACTTCTTCAGAAAAGCGCTCAACTGCTCGGACCGAGATCGTTTGAGGCTTTCCTAGTTAGGGTGTGCTCTGTGGCATCCTCTCCAGTTTGGACCAAACCTAATAATCTAGTGGGCTGAGATCAGTGCTTCCTGAGGGCCAATCCGAGCCAGAGATGAACTTTGGAATGTTCTTTTGCAGCCACTGCTGAGTTGACCTGGCCTTGTGAGCTGGAGTTGCCCTATCCTGCTGGAAAACCTAATGACTTCCAGCAAACAGAGTATCATTTAGAGGCTTGACAACAGGTTTGAAAATATCGTCCTGATAGTTTTTAGCGGCTGTTTTAACTCCCTTTTCACAAAAGTGGAGCTTTGTGGTGCCATCAAAGTAAACTCAGAGTTATTTATTTATAAAGGTGTGAAATCTAAAAGTTATCGATATAGTTTTGAAAAGCAATATTTTAGCTTTCCTACAGTTGTGGTAACATCGACTTAGGAGAAAAATTGGAAAACAGTAATATAAAAAAACAATAAAATTTTATAAAACTTTTTTTTGCCTCCTAGGGCTCATTGGCAAGAACCCCTCGGACATGGGTCTAATATTTTTCGATCTAGTATCACCATAAAAAGTATCATTGTAATCGCTGTATCATTGTAAACCCCACATCCGTAACCTTCCCTTATTAGATGGTTACTTTTTTCTAAAAATCACAATTTTGAGTGTCGTAATTACCTTAGACATAGATAATGAGAATTTGCTCCACTTTTAGAAGAATGGTTTAACTGCTTACATTATTTTTAATCTGATAATTGTTTAACTATCTATGTGTCCTCAATGCTTTAATAAATCTATTGAGAGTTAGTAAATATATATTTTTAGTTCAAAGAAAATCAATTTTTTATGTGTAGATGGTTGACCGCATGATAAAACAAGAAGGGGATGGTCCGGGAGTTGATCAGAAAAACTACCAAATAATTGCTAAATATTTATTTAATGCTGAAATTTTGATCCAAATTATAGGTCCTTTTCAGGGGGAGGATAGTTTAACAAGCCTGGCAGACAACCTCCAGTGATAATCAAAGGCCAAAGATGTTTCTAAAGCGCCTTAACTACTGAGCTATATTATATTTGTTAGTTGTCAGTCTGGCTCTTGCAACTATTTCATTCTGAACTATGAAATGAGTGACAGAGTCACTCTGACTCTGTCAATCAGAGTCATCAAAATATGAGAGCTCTTTAGCAGTCGCTACAAGAAAATTCGTTTGAGGAATAGGCCAACTGCAGGTGGCAGGGCATTGGAGTTCGCCATTTTAAAGAGACCCCTAAAGCGAATAAATATATGTATGAAAAACAAGTACTTTCTGGGTTTGAATGGTCGAATGCCCTGAAACGAAACATTAATTATGCACCCCTGCTCCTCCCCAGGTGTCAGCGGACAGGTTAGAGAAGGTGGTTTCCTCTGTTATAAATGCAGTAAAGAGTCTGAAACACCAGCCCATATGTTGGGAAAATGTCCCAACAACTCCCTCCTCATAACACATCAGGACCATAGGGTCAAGTTCGAGTCGAAGAGGCTCCTTAGAGAAAAGGAATTCCCCTGCTTTGACGAGGTCTATTGCATCGACAGTGAATATTGTCACAAGATATGCGGATATTGTCACGTTTCCCAAGACAGGAAGGACAGTGCTGATCTTGGATCCAACTGTACCCTTTGAGAGCAGTGACCTCGATCAGGCGAGTGAAGTGGAAACGGAAAAGAAGAACACATATGATAAATGTATTCCTTTCATAAAAGAAAAGTTCTGTGAGACCTTAGGCCCAACGTGAGAGGCCTCTGATTTGGTGGGTCTCGCGGAAGGATTCCAAAAAGAGCAAGTAAGGAGCTTCCTCAAGAGACTAGGTGTCTACATTAAGGATGTAACAATGTTGGCAGAAAATATTGTCCTCGACTCCCTAGTAATCATTCACCACCACGTGCATGGGTAGAGTGAGAATTTTAATTAATGTATTTATTTATTCATTTATTGAAAAAGTTTTATTGTATTAAATTGTATATACACTTTTGTTTTTGTTATTGTTTATATTGAATAGTTTTAAGCCTTTTAATATATGTATCATTTTAGGAAAGATAAAGAGAGAGAAAGGGAAAAAAAATTGCTTGTACAGAAAAAAAAAATATATATATATATATATACATATTATACTTATACATATTAATCACTTCTATATATTTGTGTATAAGCTTTATTGATTGTCCAAAAGATTAATCAGTATGCTGTGTGTCCAGTAACATAATATAATTGGGCAGCAAGCTTTTATATTTTATATAAAGTGTTTCTCTGTCTTAAGATTAAAAAAAAAATATATATTACTTTTGCCTATTATTTTTTTCTTATTTTTTATGATTATCTTGAATGTATTTTAATATGATATTTATTTTGCTTTTCAGCTCTCTGAAACAGAATCTAGTCGTTTTTTTAGCTGATTTATTTAATATGTTGGAAATTCATCCTGCTCAATGTGTAACGTTAAATGTAGCCACTCATAATATTAATAATGGTAAGATGTATTGCATAACTTCTATTTCTTAGTTCATTTAAATATTGTATTGATTAATTATAAAACATCAATTTCTCAGGCCTTTATCAAGTAAGGAACTAATTAATATTAAAAAATTGTTTCTGGCTAATTTTCCTTGGTTCTTCCGTACTTCTATACTATTTATAGGATGATTTTTTGATGTTAATGATGTTCTTCCTTGATAATGGCCTTTCGGTTGAAATGTTGGAGTTAACATAAAAATTAAGACAGTAGGATGAACTTGAAGTTTTCTTTTTAAGGAAGAACCAATTCAATTCTCATACAAACCAAATATTAAAATAAAAGTATTTAATTAAGATTTTTTTTCTGTTCGCCGTCTATTAAAATGGAAGCCTTTAGCCACAAAAACTTGTATCTGATTCACTATGTAACTTCATCGATTGAGATTTTTTCAATCAGCAACATTTGCATTTGAATCAATAGAGACAGTGCTATGGTTTTGTATATCTCATTTTGCTTTGTTTCTTCATGTTCTATGCTTTGTTTTAGCTGATTTTGATTGTGTCGTTTCACTGTGGCACTAATAGTTTTTTGGACTAATACTTTCTCATTTTTCCAAATAAGAAAACTGTTAGTTGGAGTGAAGAACAATTGGATACTAATTGAATATTTTATTTTGTTGTCTGTTCTTGCTTTAAGAAATCTTATGAAATTAAATTCAAGTTATTTGCTATAGCTTGTGTAGCTTTGATGTGTCAATGAGCTATCAGTTAAGAAAAATTATAACATATGGTACTTGCTAATTTTCATTTGTATTCTATATATTGCTGAATTCTAGAATCAATTCATTTGTATTCTAGATTGATACTATTGAAAATTAAACATTGACGGTTCATGAGCATGTCAAAGATGATTGATTTTGCTTATGAATTATCTTTATCTGTTTATTTTAAACAATATAATTTTATGTATTTTTTATATGTATTGTATGCTGTATTTTTTATTGTACATCAGTCTCTCATTAACACAAACTTGATGGGGGACCTAATTTTCCAGTTTGTAATTATCAAAATTTTGTTTTAAGACAAACAAGTTCATTTTATCGAGTTAACTAAATATTTCTCTATAGATATTTTGACTGTGTTATATTATATATAATATAATAATAAAACATTAAGAAGATTACAAATTGTCCAATATTGCATTGACTTGGGTAACCACTACAGATGGGAGAAAATACAATTCTTTTGGCTGAACTGATTCGCAACGATTTGATAATTGTAGTGAATTGACTCTTCGATTAATTCTTTTTATCTTCTTTTTTTCTTTAAATTAAAAATGGATTTTTTATTAAAAAAAAGAAAACAATAACAACATTCTTGAACCTTACGTTATTCAGGCTAAAACTTTTTTTTTTTTTAACATATTGAATTTAAAAGTCATGGTTCAAATGAATTCAAATAAAAAGTTATGAATTTTATAAGGAAATTGTTTTTAAATTTTAGATTTTGGTCTGTATATATAAATTGTAAATGAAATAAAAAATAATTTTAATACCTAGACTTTAGAATAAATTATAAATAGAAAATAAATAAAATGTGACAGTGTGACCATACATTAAATTAAATATTTACAAAATAATAAATAAATAAAATTTATAAATATACCAAACAGAAAAAAAAATTAACAAAGGAAAGAGATGGTCCGGGGTGGCGGTCATAAATAGGTTAAATAGTGGTAAAACTATTTTATTAAAAACCAACGTTTTGACCTGACTTTGCAAGTCTTCTTCAGGGCTAGAACGGACTATTTATAACGGAGTTATCTTGGGTATCCTGAGATATGCGTCCCCTGCGTGGAGTCAGACTCTCTCGCACCAACAGAAGAAAAGGTTGGCGACGATCCAGTGTATGGCTCTGCTGCGTGTCACTAGGGCGTACCGGTCAGTATCTCATGAGGCGGTACAAGTCTTAGCCGGAAGTATTCCAATCGATCTTCAACTTCGTGAAGACTACTTTCGGCACGAAATGAAGAGAGATGGCTTGGTGGATCTACCGGCTAATCTCTGAGTGAGGATCAGTGAAGACCCAAGCAGATGGAAGAGGATTCTCCGGGAATGCACATTAGAAGAATGGAACCGGCGTTGGATGGCAACGCCAAAAGGATCAACCCTAAGGAAATACTTCCCCACCGTCGGTTCAAGAATGGAAACTACATGGCTCCTCCCGGACTATTGGGTCTCGCAATTCCTCACGGGGCATGGGGGATTCCGAGCAAAGCTTGTTCAACATGGTAAGAACATTGATCCCCTATGCCCAAGTTGTAGGGTACCGGAGACCGCCGAGCACGTCTTATTAGCCTGTACCGCCTATGAGGCATTGAGGGCTAAGTTGCTGAGGGAGACTGGGCTCTATGTCTTATCAGAGCGCGATCTCCCTCAGCTAGTGACCAGAGAGAACTACCCGCACTACAAGGCCTTTGTGTACGAGTAGAAAGACATCATTGGCCCAGCCCACTTCTATTTGGATAGAAGAGAAGAAGCTCCGCCACAGAGGATGGAAGAGCCAAGCTAAACAGAAAATCTTATTGTATCGATTGCAGTATTGGCTAGTTATGCACACGTGTAGCTATCCAATACTGCAAACACTCGTATTGCCAAACTGGCAGGGCAGAGATTTAAATAAATAAATAAAAAAGGGCTAGAACGGACAAAATACAAAAAGATAGAGAATTTTGGAAGTTACATAATATTTAGACAAAAAATTATAAACAATGTGGATAATCTTATTAAAATTAAAAACAGTAAGTACCTTAAAATATAAACAGAGTAAGCTAAGTAATAAGATCCTAAACTGAAGTAAATAGACGGTAACAATTGTTGTAGTGTAATATATAATATATGCAAATGTGAATATACTTCTGCAGATCAACAGGAGAGATTGAAAGAAAAGGAAAAAGGATATAATATGAAATAATAGACGTAAAGGAATGTGGAGCCAGAAAAGAAAAAAGAAAACCAAAAAATTAAATAAATAAGTAAATAAAATTAGAGACTTACAGGTGTATTCAGCTAGGAGTTTCACTTAGAACTGGAAAACAAGGGTAAGGGCAGGTATTGAGGAATTCGCTGACTTGTTTGGGTAATGGAGAAAAACCTAGAAAATTAAAGTATCTAAAATTTGAAGATATGGATAGATACAAGGGAAAAAATACTATATCTATGAAATATTAAATTATAAATAAATACATATACATATAAATATAATTAAGAGATTATAGATAACAGTACAATGTGAATAAAAACAAAAAAGGAAGAAGTAAAACATACATAGAAGTAAAATATAAATATAGAAATAAGAGACCATACATTGCACAACTAACTTAGAAGTATATAGAAAGAAAAAAAAAATGAGTAATTATAATTATATTTGGTTGTACATATGTAAGAAAATAAAATAAATTTAAAAAAATACATAAATAAATAAAATGAATACAAGGTGAAAATGGATGATCATACATTGATGTAGAATGTAAATATAAAATTAAAATTAAATAAAAGATAGATCATACAAAGCAGAAATACTTAGAAGAATGATGAACAATTAAATTGAATTAATCAATAAAAATAAAAATAATAGGATGTAATATATAAGTTATTTTTCACTTTTAAGATTTAAAATGTGTCTATATGTTAAAGAAATACAGTTTTTATCTACTTTATGATTAACAGGATTCTGTTCCATGTGAATGTGGATGGATTCGGAAATGAGTCTTTTTTCATGGTTAGGGACCATGGCAAGAATAGAGGTTTTTTCAAAATCAAATGATGTTATGGTTAAGGCATGTTCTGATAGTTTGGAGGCGGAAGGGTTCCGGGAAGTTATGGATGTTTTATGTTGGGAAATGTGGGTTTTGAAAAAAAATTAACAAATAAATATAATAGTAATATAAATAAACTTAGGCTATAAATGTCCAAAATGTGTAATGATCCTGGAAGAGTAAATTTCGAAAGTAAACCAAACAACCTAGTAAGTAATGGAAGATTTCTTGGAACAAACCCGGTAAGTGAAGAACTGAGAGAGCTATGAGAGAAAATTCTAGTGGCATGCATCATTAAGAATCGACTCAAAATCTCCAATGAATAGATATATATAAATATATATATGTGGCACGACATCCCGTTACCGAGACTGGGCCTCCTCCAAGAGCCTCCGCCAGTTGGCTCTGTCTTCTGCTGCAGCTCTCTAGTTCCGTACACCAAGGGTTCTCGCATCATGGGCCACGTTGTCCAACCATCTCATCCTCGGCCTTCCTACCCGTCTTGTGAGGTGCAACTCCTTTCAGCATTACTTTCTTGGGTATTTCAACGGTGCTCATTCTGGCCACATGCCCTGCCCACCTTAATTTGGCAAGTTTAATATATGTGACTATGTCTGTATAACGAGAACTGAGCTCCCTATTTTTTCTTTTCCTCCAGACATCACCCTCCTTTACTGGACCATAAATTCTTCTGAGGACTCCTCGCTCGAACACACTCAGCTTCATCTCATCACTTTTCGTCATCGTCCAAGCCTCTGAGCCATATGTCAAAACAGGCCTTACAAGGGTCTTGTATAGAATCAGTTTGGTCTTCTTTGAGAGATACCTACTTCTTAAGTGTCGGCCAAGTCCAAAGACACATCTATTGGCAGCCGTGATCCTTCTCTGTATTTCTTGAGCCATGTCATTTTTGCTATTTATTTCAGAACCAAGATATAAAACTTTTTACTCTCTCAAACTTAAAAGAGCCTACCTCAAATGGAGAGTTCAGATCCACCTCACCACCGACTCTCATATATTTAGTTTTCCTCTGATTGACTTCTAGACCAAGTCGTCTTGCAGCTGCTTCAAGGGCTATAAACGCTTCTCTGAGAGCCCGTTCAGGCCTTCCCATTATGTCAATATCGTCAGCACAACCAAGAAGCTGTGTCAGGCGATTGAAGATTATATCGCTGGTCTGAATACCGGAATCTCTTACA